GCTGGGTTTTATGCACGAGGAGCCTGGGGTCTAGGGAGGTATAGGAATTACCTGTCATCCCGGGGTGCGCCTAGGTGACTTAGCCCGTTAAGCGTCCGACTTTCGCTTAGGTCCTGCGTTGGGCTCTGTGCTGACTGCCAGCTCAGAGCCTGGAGCCTGTTTCAGAGTCTGTGACTCCCTCTCTCTCTGACCCTCCCCTGCTCACGCGGTCTCTCTCTCTCCTAGAAATAAATAAAACATTTAAAAAAAAAAAAAAAGGAATTACCTGTCATCCCAATTACAGTATCAGAGGCAGAATTTATATTTTCACGGGTTTTCTGGCTCCAAAGTCTGTCCTTTTTCTTGTGCCTGATCCTGGCTCCTCACAGGAAAGGGAAAAAGAGAGGGAAGAAGAAAATGAGAAGAGAGGAAAGCCGAGAGGCCGTAGCAGCACAGAGACATAGAGGAAGCAAGAGAGAAAGGAGACCCCAGAAGAGAGAAAAGGAGAGGGAGACAAGGCCAGATAAGAAAAAATAATATTGAAGGAGAAGGATGCAGTTGGAGAACTGCCTCCCCGACTTCAGACTTACCATTAGCGGCAATAATCAAGACAGTGAGGTACCGGTGAGAGAAGAGACCAACAGATTAGTGGTATGGAGAGCCCACAAACAGACCTACATAAATACAGTCAACTGATCTTGGACAAAGCGGCAAAGGCAATACAATGAAGAAAAGACAGTCTTTTCAACAAATGGTGCTGGAAGAACTCAACATTCACATGCAAAAACATGAATCTAGACACAGAGCTTGCACCCTTCACAAAAATTAACTGGAAATGGGCCACAAATTTAAATTGCAAAGCAATAAAACTACAAGATAACATGGCAGAAAATGCAGACGACCTTGGGTTTGGTGATGCCTTCTGAGATGCAATGCAAAAGGCAATATCCATGAAAGAAAGAATTGGTAAGATGGACTTTATTATGACAAAAAATTTCTGCTCTGCAAAAGACACTATTAAGAGAATGAAAAGACCAGCCACAGACTTGGAGAAAATATCTGCAAAAGACGTATCTGGTAGAGGACTGTTATCCAAAATATACAAAAAAATCTTAAAATTCAACAATAAGAAAATAATCAGATTAAAAATGGAGGGCGCCTAGGTGGCTCAGTTCGTTAAGCGTTTGGCTTCAGCTCAGGTCATGATCTTGAGGTTTGTGGGTTTGGCCCTGTGTCGGGCTCTGTGCTGACAGCTCAGAACCTGGAGCCTGCTTTGGATTCTGTTGTCTCCCTCTCTCTGCCCCACCCCTACTCGCGTTCTTTCCCTCTCCCTCTCTCTCAAAAAAAATATATTTTTTTTTATATATTTTTTTATTTATTTCTAGGAGAGAGAGAGAGACAGCATGAGCAGGGGAGGGTCAGAGAGCGAGGGAGACACAGACTCTGAAATAGGCTCCAGGCTCTGAGCTGTCAGTCAGCACAGAGCCCGACGCGGGGCTCGAAACCACGAACCTCGAGATCATGACCTAAGCGAAAGTCGGACGCTCAACCGACTAAGCCACCCAGGCGCCCCTCTCAAAAAAAATATTTTAAAAAAATTTTTATAAAGGGCCAAACAACAGGTACATGAAAAGATGCTCAGCATCACTACTTATCAGGCAAATGCAAATCAAAACCATTATGAGATATCACAGCACACCTGTTAGAGTGGCAACTACCAAAAAGACAAGCGATATAACAAGTGTTGGAGAGGATGTGGAAAAAAGGTAACCTCAGTGCACTGTTGGTGGGAATACAATTTGGGATAGCCACTACGGAAACCAGTACATAGAGTGTGGAAGCTCCTCAAAAAGTTAAACAGAGAGCTACCGTGTGATCCGGTAATCCTACTTCTGGGTTTATATCTGAAGGAAATGAAATCACTATCTTGAAAAGATACCTGTACCCTCATTATTTATAGCACTGTAAATATTTATTGCAGCATTATTTACAACGTCCAAGGGGCACCTGGGTGGCTCAGTTGGTTGAGTTCCAGACTTCAGCTCAGGTCATGATCTCGCTCTTTGTGAGTTCGAGCCCCACATTGGGCTCTGTGCGGACAGCTCAGAGCCTAGAGACTGTGTCAGATTCTGTGTCTCCCTCTCTCTCTGCCCCTCCCCCACTCATGCTCTGTCTCTCTCTCAAACATAAATTTAAAAAAAAAAACATAAAAAATAATACAACAACCAAGACATGGAAACCTAGCTCTGCTGACAGATGAATGGATAAAGAAAATGTGGTGTATGGTGTGACATATATATCATATAATATATATAACATGTACTAGAATATCCATAAAAAAGAATGAAATTTTGCTATTGACAACAACATGGTGGGAGCTTGAGGGCCCTAGGATAAGTGATGGAAGCTAGACTAACACTCTATAATATGACTTATATGTGGAATCTACTTTTTAAAAAGCCAAACTCGTAGAAACACAGAGTGGAATGGTGGTTGCCAGGAACTGGGGGAAAGGAGGAGATGCTGTTCAGAGGGTACAAACTTAGTTATAAGATGAATAAATTCTAGGCATCTAATATTCAGCATGGTGATTACCGTTAACAATACTGTATTATGTACTTGACAGTTGCTAAGACAGTAAAGTTTAAATGCTCTCACCATACACATGCACAAAATTATAATTATGTGAGATGATGGACGTTAACTAACCTTACTATAGTAACCATTTTTCAATATATACATGCATCAAATCATCACACTGTGTACCTTAAACTTAAATAGGTCAATGATATCTCAATAAAGCTGGAAAATAAATAAGATAGAATAAAAAAGTGGGTCAAAGACTTAGCAGACACTGCATTAAAGAAGATACGAATATGGCAAATAAGTATACAAAAAGATGCTCCACAATCGCTCCGTCATTAGGAGACTGCAAATTACAACAACTACTACACACCCACCAGAAGGGCTAAAATCCAAAACACTGACAACACCTGAATACTGACAAAGATGTGGAGCAACAGCAACTCTCATTCATGGCCGGCAGGAATGCAAAATGGTCGGCCACTTGGCAAGTCTGGTGGCTTCTTACAAAACTCAGCACATCTTTACCCTAAGATCCAGGAATCACACTCCTTTGCATGGACCCATAGAAGTTGAGTAAAAAGATCAGGGGTTATGGATGAGGAAGGGAGATAAATGGGTGGAGCACAGGGGTGTTTTTTGGGAAGTGACACTTCTCTATATGATGCTCTAATGGTGGATATATGCCATTAGAGATTTGTCCAAACTCATAAAATGCGCAAAACCGAGAACGAACCCTAAGATAAACTATGGATTTCGGGTGATCGTGATGTGTCAATGGAGGTTCATCAATTGTAAAAAGGTCCCACTTTGGTAGGAGATACTGATAACGGGGAGGGGGGGAGGCTATGCATGTTCTGGGGCAGGGAGTGAATGGGAAATCTGCACCTTCTTCCCAATTTTGCTGTGAACTTAAGACTGCTTTAAAAAACAAATTCTATTACAGAAAATTTTTTAAAGAAAAGTAAATAAACTGAGCAAAAGAAAAAAAAAAGCTGGTAAAAGATCTTCACTGCTGTTCTTGGAAGTCCGCTTTGCAGTCCCAGCCTTCCGTTGGAAGGTTAATGAAATGCCTAGAGGGGCCGGCACGCCCCCTGCAGGAGGGGAGAGGTGAGGCGAGCGGATGGTTTAGGCTTGGCCTGAAGCTCATACAGAGGGTCGCAAGAGGAATTACCAAGAAACTCTTTAAAGTACCAAAGTTCGGGTCGCCTCACACTCACTGAGGCTTTCCCGTGGCGGAGCCCAGGCAGAGGGAGGTGAAAAGCGCTCGCGTTCATTCTAACTTGCAGCCGCGGCGGGTGGGGGAGGGGCTTGGAGGTCAGGGGACGGGAAGGAAAGGAAACCTTCCCCAAGAGGTGGACGCCGCTCCCCGCGCGGTCGCAGGCCCGGGTGCTCACTCCAGCCACGCTTTACAAGGGCCAGCCGCCTGGGTCAGTGGCTCTCACGTCCAGCACAGGGGTCGTATGGGCAGGTGCGCCAAGGTCGGCACTGGAAGGAGGGAGACTAGGCCCCTGGGTCTGCAGCAACCGCCCGGTACCGGGTGTGGGGCCGATCGCACGCCCCCGGCTTCGCGGCGCCTCCAGGACCCGTTTTACGGTCGACGCCCCGGCGCCGCGTGCGGACTCTGGGTTCGCGCTCTAGGTGACAAGGGCTTTGTCACTTTTCCTACTCTGTTGCCACCAAGCGGTGATTACGCCGCTTCGGGCCTCGCTCTGGTGACGCGAGGACGAATGGGTGACCACGTATACTTTGGAGCAAACTTTCTCCAATACCTGCTCACTAGCCACCTTTAACAGTAAAAACGGACGAGCGAACAAATTTGAAAAAAACAAAACAAAACCGAACCACGCGCACACCCCGCGCGCGGGCAGGGGCGAGCACGCACTCACAGGAAGGTGAAACCGGCACTAGAAACTTAGCGCCAGGTGGGTGGTCTCCCTCTCACCGGCCGCCGCAGCACCCCGCGCCCTCTCCGCGCACCTACCCGCGGCCCCACACCTCGCTGCCTTCTTCCACGCTGCCCTCGGCGGCCGGGAGACCGATTAGGTGGTCCAGATACTTCGGGGACCCACCGGAGGGGAGGCCCGATTCCCTCTCCCCGGCGTCCTCCTCCAGGGAGCGGTCAGCACACCTGCGACCCCTCGCGCCCCAGCGCTCGGGAGACACCTGTCCGGGAGAGCGGGGACCGGAAACGCGAGTCTCCCGGCGCGCGCCGCCCACCCCCGCCGCCGGCAGCGCGGCGGGTGCCTGGCCGTCTCCAGGGTGCTGGCCCTTTAAGGCGGGTGGTGGCCGCAGCCGCGCTCGGGGCGGGGCCAGAGACGCGCGCCTCGAGGGGCGGGATCCGAGAGGTGCGCAGAGGCGAGGCGGTGCGCCCGCGTGGCTGTGTCGCGGGCCCGGCCGCGGGGGCGGCCTGCTCTCCGGACGTGGGGCCGGGGCCGCGTGGCTTGGGGTCCCGAAGGGCCTAGTGGACCGCTGCCCGATCGCCACTCCCGCCGGTTCCCGGAGCTCTGGGGCCCGCCGGAAGCGAGTGCGTACCTGTCGGCCCTTGGGAAGCGGGCAGGGGGCAGGATCGGGGGACTCCGGGCTGGCCTCCGAGTCCGGCCGGGACCCGGGCTCTCGCTCTCACCGCCGGAGACTCGCAGTCGGCCAGTGTGCTTCACTTCCAGTCTCGGAGAGCTGGAACTGCGTCGGCCCTGTGTGCCCAGCTGGTGTCAAAAATCAAACCGTTAGCACCCAGTCCAAGTGCAGGTTCTGGTCCACGGCTGTGACTAGCGAACGCACCGAATTCGGGGGGGTGGGGGGGTGGAGGGAAGACCCGAACAAAACAGCAGGAACTACCCGGCCGGCCGCCGTGCGCCGGCCTGGCCAGTTTAGAAAGAAGCGCGTTCTCCGCGGCCCTGGGCTGTCGGCGCCGCCGCCCGCGGCTCCTAACGCGGCTCGGCTCGGAATTCACCCAGTGGTGACCGCACAGTGCGTAGGGCATCCTGCAGGAGTTGTAGGGTCGTGGGTTCTTTTGCCCAGTGACCCCTTTTGGCACGGATTCAGGACTAAATTAACCTCCCCTGAAGAGGAAGAGCCTTGCGAAAGGGCTTAGACAAAAGCCCCCCCCCCCCCCCCCCACACCTCTTCTTTTGAACTTGCAAAACGACCTTAAGAAAACATTGGGAGCTATTTTAAAGAGAATGCATTTTCCTGGCCCGAGCGTCACGCGGGATTCTTTTGCCCAACAGCTTTGAGGGAGCAGCGAGCTGCATGCACGCGACATGGCCCTGGTGCCCTACGAGGAGACCGCGGGGACGGGGTTGCAGAAATTCCACAAGCCTCTTGCCACCTTCTCCTTTGCGAACCACAGGATCCAGATTCGGCAGGACTGGAGACAGCTGGGGGTCGCCGCGGTGGTTTGGGACGCGGTAAGTAAGAGCCTGGGGCCTCTGGAAACAACCACAGTTGATTATAAGACTGGTCTTTTTTCTTCTTCTTCTTTTAAATAGCAGGCTTATTGAGATATAATTTATATACCATACAATTCACCTATTTAAAGTATACAATTCTGCGGGTTTGTTTTTTTTTAAGTAAACTCACTGAGAGGTGCAGCCATCTCCATGCTCTATTTTAAAAACATTTTCGGGGCGCCTGGGTGGCTTAGTCGGTTAAGCGTCCGACTGTCGCTTAGGTCACGATCTCGCGGTTCGTGGGTTCGAGCCCCGCGTCGGGCTCTGTGCTGACTGCCAGCTCAGAGCCTGGAGCCAGTTTTGAATTCTGTGTCTCCCTCTCTCTCTGACCCTCCCCTGCTCACGCTGTCTCTCTCTCTCTCCTAGAAATAAATAAAACATTTAAAAAAAAATTTTCATCCCCCAGCCCCTCCAAAAATACTTCCACCCATTGGAATCACTTGCTTCCCTTCTCCCTCCCCCAGCCCAAAAAGATTGCATTTTGAAGGTGAATAAAGGAAAGCTGAGGGAAATTAAATTACTTGGCAGTAATATACCGAGCAGGTAAGAGGGAGGGAGAGCAGGAAGGAAAGCAGGAAGCCCCTACTTTGGACTCTCATTAAGTTAATTTTTCACTTGTTTCATTTTGAAAATATTGCCCAAAGAATACTGTAAAAAGTGGCAGAGCCCAAAATGAAGATCACGTGTTTTCTTGAAGTTTTCCGTACTTGTCACAGTCACGAATTATACCATTAGTTGCTTTGTTTTGCTTCTTCCTCTCACAGCCCTGTTCTGTCAGCCACTGTGACAGTGACCTGACCTCAGCAGCTAGCAGTGGGAACTCATCTAATGTTGGATAAACGATAGATGTAATTTTGTGGTCTTAACATGGCAGTAGGGATGTTAGAGAAACATTTAGGTGTAAGAATCTCAATATATTGTAACCTCTTCTAGGAATCTAGTCCAAGGTGATTATGTGGAAAGTATTCCCAGAATGGCTAATAAAAGTACATTATAGGAATGCGTGAGCCTCTTAAATGCTTACCAAGAAGAGGAATCGCTAATTATGCTAATAGTATGTGGCCATGAAAGACAAAATTCTATTTAAAAATTATGTTAACAGCATACAATGCTTTTTTTTAAAAAAAGTTTATTTTAGAGAGAGAGAGAGAAGGAGACAGAGGATCTACGCTGACAGCGCAGAGCCTAATATGGGGCTTGAACCCATGAACCCATGAGATCATGACCTGAGCCAAAGTTGGATGCTTAACCGACTGAGCCACCCAGGCACCCCTACCATACTTTTATAGAATTGTATGCAAATGCCAGCTCATGCATCAGGTGTCCAAAACTTCAGTGCAGCTTTCCTTCCCATGCCTGATAGTATATGGTGAGGGCCCCAGGGATGCAGAACGGCAGGAGAGAAGCGCCCAGCTCCTGGAGCCTTGGACGGGAGCCACTCTGCCTCTTGCTTTGGGTGACATTGTGGCCTTGCTGCCTTGAACTTGGTATAGGAACTGGACATCCCTTTAAGCAAGATCACAGAGACTATTCATGTCAGCTCCACCAGGGTCATTTTGTAAACTTTAAGTGACACAGTAAGAATGAAACCCCAGATTGAGCTGGTCCCTGTGTTGTGTGTGCATAGCGTCATGGACCCCTGCCGTCCCTGCGAGGGACCTTGGTGGGGCCCGGGGCTGCAGCGTCTGTGTCTGCTCTAGGGTCACCTGCCAGCAGCAGCTGAGCTCCTGTGTGTGTTGTTAAACCAGGACTGGAGCCTTGCCATGGGAGAGAGGGGGTGAGGTCTTCCTGCCGGTGTGAAGCCCGCCCAAAACCCTGGGGGTCGTCCGGCACCCATTGACTTGCATCGTCATGCTGTGTTTTCACTCAGGCTGTCGTTCTTTCCACGTACCTGGAGATGGGAGCTGTGGAGCTCAGGGGCTGCCGTGCGGTGGAGCTGGGTGCCGGCACCGGGCTGGTGGGCATAGTGGCTGCCCTGCTGGGTGAGTGCCATGCGCGGGCTCTCTCCTCTGTGAGCCGAACTCGTTGAGAAGTGTGTTTGCTATTTCCTTGACACAGACCCATGTTGCTTTTTCCCTTACTGGATTTTCTGTCCCCTGTACTTATGAGTCACCTGCTGGTGTCTTTAACTCCAGTAAACCTGATTTCCTCTCTCGCTCGCTCTCTTGCTCTCACTCCCTTGTTCTTGCTCTGGCTCTCTTGCTCTCTATTTCATCCTGTTATTTATACTTCTTATAAAAGGTTGCTTTGCCCCCTTCAGTTTGTTTGTTAGGTTTTTTTTTTTTACGCAAACGCACATTTATTTGGGTGTTTCAAATTGCAGTTCAGGAGACAATGGGTTGTCTGAATTAGGTTACTCCCCTTTCAGTTTTATGCCAATAATATGATCAGAAGGCAGTTTTCAGTTCAATTTCAGTTCAAAGAAAACTGTCATCTTCACGTACATAGTTTTTTACACTTTATGGGCCTTCCCTACTCTGTTAGATTTAACCCTGCGAGGCAAGTAGAAGATAGTCTCATTCATTGCTGAGGAAACTTTGCTGGTTTGTCTCTTCTGAGAAGGGTCGGCCCTGCCGTAGTTTGTACTGACATCTTATATTTAAAAAATTGTATTCACAGTATCCAGTTCTGGATTGATATCAGGGTTTGTCATTTTTTTTGTTTGTTTGTTTGGTATACAGACATTAATTTAGGCCTAGAGTATTTTTAAGCTTTGTTTTATTTTATTATTTATTGTCAACTCCTTTCTTCAGCTTCTGGCTCATGCTGTTCAAGCCACCCAATGGACAGACCCGCTTCTAAGATACAACATATATAACATTCATCACATCAGTATGTCACCCAGTGCTCTTGTTAAAATGAAATTTCTGCTTCTGTTGGTCTGGGGTCAGGCCTGAGATTCTCCGTTAATTGTGTCCTCTTTCTGGTAACTTATTATTATTATTTTTTTTAGTATTCCTTTCTCAGTTTAGATCTAGCCTTCCACAATGTGGGGAGCACGGGCAGGGTGGTGGTTAACAGCGTGTGAAGATGGATCTAGGTTTCCATCTAACACCACAGCCCTCTCAGGCTCTGATGAGGCCCTTGCTCATACACTGCCTCTTGTTCTCCTCAGGTTAGTCTTGTGACACTCCTGTGGGTGTTAAGTTTTACTTTCATTTCATTTCATTTCAGTTCAATTTTTATTTTTACAGAAAGAGCAAGTGTCCCTGTGAGCAGGGGAGGGGCAGAGAGAGAGAGAGAGAGAGACCGAGGGAGAGAACTTTAAGCAGGCTCCATGCCCCTCGAGGAGCCCAACTCAGGACTCCATCTCACAACTGCGAGATCATGACCTGAGCCGAAAGCACGAGTCGGATGCTTAACTGACTGAGCCACCCAGGCGCCCCATATTTTTAAAAAAAATTTCATTTTGCCAGTGAAACTGGGGTTCTGGGGAAGTTAAGCCACTTTCAGTGGAAGACTCCACTGAAGTCCTGGTCAGTGGAGACCTGAGATTCAAACCAGGCTCCTCAGACACTTATTATCCTCCCTTGACACTACGTTTGCTGATGTGAGAGGAGTTAACTGGAAGGGAAGTGAGATTTCTTCTGTCTCCTCTGGACAAGCGGGGCTTCATGCTCAACTGCATCGGCTGGTGTAGAGACTTGCTAGTTGGCAAAGTGCGTAGGTTTAGAGGTATACTTGGTTTGGATGCCTCTTTTTTTTTTATTTTTTTTATTTTTATTTTATTTCTAGGAGAGAGAGAGAGACAGCATGAGCAGGGGAGGGTCAGAGAGAGAGGGAGTCACAGACTGAAACAGGCTCCAGGCTCTGAGCTGGCAGTCAGCACAGAGCCCGACGCGGGGCTCGAACCCACGAACCGCGAGATCATGACCTAAGCGAAAGTTGGACACCTAACCGACTAAGCCACCCAGGCGCCCCAGTTTGGACACCTCTTTTAACTCTTACTAGCTGTGTGACCTTGGGCAAGTTGCTTAATCTCTCCACTTCAGTTTCCCCATAAAATGGGGATGATAATCCATTTGTGCTACAGTAAGGATCCAATGAGATCAGGCATAGAAATCGGTTAGCTCCTTGACTGGCGCAAAGTAAATGCTCAGTAAATGTTAATTGCTCCTCTGAGTATTTCTGTTTCTGATCTAGAAATCCGGATCTATGGGGTTGGGTAAAACAGGATGATGATGAGGTTCTTTAAAGACCTGCGCGGAGCGGGGGACTAGGTGGTTGTCACCACAGAAGACGTTGGCTCGGGAGTGGGCTGGACCAGCAGAGCACGGTGTGCTCTTGACTCCGGGAAAGTGTGCTTCTGGGCCCCGCTGCACCGCCCTCTCTCTGCAGCCTTTCCTGCCCCAGAGCAGAGTTCATTGCTGCCTCATTTCTTCTCCCCACAGCACTTGGTACACTCGCCACGTTGTCCCGGCCTTTTTCCAGGCTGCTGTTTCTTGTGTCTGTCCCTCCTGGCAGGCTAAAGGGCCCGAGGCATGGGACCATGTCTCATCCCGTGTCTTGGCCCCAGACACCACCTGCCACGGGGTAGATACTCAGATATTTCTGGAATGAGAGTTGGGCAGACTGGAAAATCATGAAGAGTGATGTTTCTCTTACAAAAGTGATGTAACTCTATTTCAAAAATAGCCCTAGCAGCAGAATAAAGCGGGAAAAAGCCATCATTCTAAATTTTTTCTTTTTTAATGTTTTCATTTATTTCTAGGAGAGAGAGAGACAGTGTGAGCAGGGGAGGGTCAGAGAGAGAGGGAGTCACAGACTGAAACAGGCTCCAGGCTCTGAGCTGGCAGTCAGCACAGAGCCCGACGCAGGGCTCGAACCCACAAACCGCGAGATCATGACCTAAGCGGAAGTCAGACGCTTAACCGACTAAGCCACCCAGGCGCCCCACCATCAAACATTCTAATTATTCATGACCTTGCAACATAAGTACCGTTAGCGTTTTGGTGTGTTTGCATCCATTCTTTTTCTTCCACTTGTGTTTTTAATCACAGTTGTTATCATGGTTATAGAGGTGTGTGTGTTACGTGTGTTCATGCATGTATGTATGTACACACATTGTATGTCCCACTTAACCTTACGTCGTGCACATCTCTGCGCTGCTGTGTTATTTGTTGTGGCTGCAAAAGTATTAGGCGTTACTTTTGAGGGTGAGACCTGAGCGTAAGAAAAAGTTAATGTCTTTAGGATGGAGGCAGCGAGAACTAGAATAAGTGGTGATTTGTTCTCCTTTTTAAATTATTTTTATTTTTCTTAACCCGAGTCATTTATTCCCCGATTCAGGGAATGCCCACCACGTGCCTGGCCTGGTTTTAGGTGCTTCAGATACAGGCCGTCTCAGGAAGCATCCATTCTAATTCTGAGGGGGAGGGAGGACAAGACAGATTCTATTAAAAAGCCAGAAAAAAAAAAAAAAGCAGTAAGTTCTCTGCAGAACTTTAACAATGGGTGCTGAGACTTTTCCTGTGAAAAGACAAAGCCAGCTTTTAATTACTGGGCCGTTCCCACATTCTGTGTCTGCGGCCCCCTGCATGGTGGGTAGGTCTACTTGGAACTCTCTGCCCCTCGTGAAATGAAGGCTTAACAGAGCTCAGGGTCACAAAACTCATGGATTGAGGCATTAGAATTGAATGCATTTCTCTCACACCCTGGTTCTTAGTTTGAAAATCTCTTTATACTGTGTGGAAACTATTAGAAAAAAGTATCCCATTTTAAAGATAGGGTTCTGTAAGTTGCGGTGGGGTCAGGGAATCTGAATTTTTTTTTTAATTAAATTTTAATTAAAAATATTTTGGTGTTTATTTTTGAGAGAGAGCACAAGTGGGGGAGGGGCAGAGAGAGAGGGAGACACAGAATCTGAAGCAGGCTCCAAGCTCTGAGCGGTCATCACAGAGCCCAACATGGGGCTCGAACTCATGAACTGCGAGATCATGACCTGAGCCGAAGTTGGACGCTTAACCGATTGAGCCACCCAGATGTCCCCGGGAATCTGGATTTTAAATGCTTCGGAGGTGATTTTGATGCCCAAACAAGTCTGGGGAAGAGCCTTAAAGTGTCGTGCTCGGGAAGAAGTTGTGTAGTTGTCCATACTCGCAGTGCAAATCTCTGCCGAGCTTTCCGCCTGTATGTATGCTTACCTGAAGCGTGGTATCTCTACCTGGCTGTTTGTCAGCGCCTCAAATCGTATGTGTGTTTAAACTTGAACTCTTCTTCCCTTTGCAAACTCCACCTTTTGTTTTGTTCCGAGTTAGCGTGGCCATCCTACTCAGGCCCACTCCTTGACCTGCAGCCCCGGCCTCTCCGCCCCCTGCTGACCCATCTTCTGAGGATTTCTTGATTCCGGTTCTCCCTTTGAGTGCCCCCCGACCTGCGCCCCTGCCCGGCTGGAGCTCCCAGCATCTGGCTCCTCTGTGAGGATGTGCACATCCCCACCACCTGACCTCTCTGCCTCTGCCTTGTCTTCTCAGAGCCACTTCCCAGTAGACCAGAGTGGCCCATCTACGGCGCAGAAGTGCTGGGGTGGCCGGTACTTAAACACCCGCTGCCTCCCCACGGCTGAGCACTCCTGAGGCTCTCACCTCGTTTGGCGGTTCCAGGGACACACTTGCCGCTTCTGGCCCGTCCCTTCTGCCTTACCTGCCCTGTCTTCACCCTTTCCCCTGGTTAGTGGCACGTCTTTCCAGGGTAAGCTCAGACTTCCAGTCCTTCCCAGTCCTTTCTCGGACCTCTGGCCCTCAGAGGGTTTCTCCTTTGTGACCACGGAATCTCCTGGCACCCCAGGTTGCCATGTTTTACTCCCCGCGGTGCGTCACAGTTGGGTTTCTGGGTCCTCCTCACGGCACCGAGCTAGAGGCCGAGGATCTTCCTGCGTGTGCGTGCGTGTGTGTGTGTGTGTGTCTGGTACATAGCATGTGCGCAGATGTTCTGATAAAGGTGTTGCAGACTGGAAGTGATGGTAAGTGTTTACATGTTCTTGTCCGTTACCAAGGGCGAGGCCGCGGGGTGCGCGGTGCCGGGCCCTGCCCGTCAGTCCTCGCGACGTCAGCCTTGCCCCGGGAGCGCAGCTGTCTGCACCCACGTGAACCTCCCCGGGGTCGCTCCCCCGCATAGTCAGTCATGGGAGCTCTGCCCTTCCGCTTCTTCCGTGGGCCAGCCTCCCCGCGGAGGGCGACCCTCCTGTGCCGCCGAATGTGGCTGCAGGCGACACAAGCCTGCAGGGTCTGATCCAGGACGGTCGGGGAGGCGGCCGCCACTGTGCTTCCTCTCCTGCTCTGCCGGCCTCCTCCCGCCTCCTTCCTCCGGCCAGGCTCCCAGCCGGCCACGCGGCTTCTCATTTCACTGAGGAGACTGATGCGGTCAGAGGAGGGCTTCCCTAACCCGTCGGCCTCCAGCCCTCCTGCTCACGGAGCCACAGTCTCTGCCTCTGCTCCTGATGCGTTCGCAGCCAGCCCCCCTCACCTCTGTGATGACTTCTCTTGCCTCTTTCTGCCTGACCCTTCCCAGCAGCCTGCAAACTGGCTGGCTCCCATCTAAAAACAAAAAAACAACAACAAAAACTTTTTTGAGAGCGAGAGGGAGGGTATAAGTGAGTGAGAGGCAGAGAGAGAGAGGACAAGAGGGAGAGAAGCAGGGCTCCAGGGCCCCCGAAGTGGGGCTCAGGCTCATCCAGTGTGGGACTTGAACTCACGAACCTTGAGCCGAAGTCAGGTGCTTAAGGACTGAGCCATTCAGGTGCCCAAAACAAAAAACTTTGAAAAGGTCTAACAGAAATCTGTTTTCTGTAGCGGGAAATGTAGGAGATGGGCCTCGGTTACTTTATCCTACCAGATAGCAAGGAGGCTAACAAAGATGAAGGGGTTGTGTCAAAAGTCTGCTGGCAACATTTGAATATCAGTAGTGATAATGGCACTGGATTTAAATATATCAAATATGTTTGATCCATGAGTTGATGATACAATAAAATAAACTCAATCAGTCATCTTTGGAGGGTGCTTAGAAACCAGCAATTTGGAATCTGGTTTATAAAATGGGAGGAAGAGCAACATTTATCCTGCTTTTTCTATTCAGTTGCTATAGAAAATGAGTGACATAGTAATTGAAAGAAACTTCCCAGGGTGCTTGGGTGGCTCAGTCTGACTGTGGCTCAGGTCATGATCTCACAGCTTGTGGGTTCGAGCCCCGCATAGGGCTCTGTGCTGACAGCTCAGAGCATGGAGCCTGCTTCGCTTCTGTGTCTCCTTCTCTCTCTGCCCCTCGCCCACTAACACTCTGTCTCTCTCTCAACAATAAATGAACAGTAAAAATATTTAAAAAAAAAAAAAAAAAGAAACTTCCCTTTATAGAAATTTCTCAACAAATGCAAAAGGAATCTAGTGAATTAAAGATCTGGGCATTGCAGACTCATGCCTGTTCACATCACAGAAATACAGCTTGCTGGGGACTACATACCTCGATGAAGACCACACCACCACCTCTGAAAGAGGCTTGCTCAAAAAAATCAAATTTAAACTCACAGGAGATACAGACGAGAGAGGAACAGGCTAAACTGTATAAAACGGTACAGTCAGGAAAGTCCACAGATTGTGGGAAACTACAGGACAAATTATTTGTATCTTCCCCAAATTGAAAGGGGAATAAAAAGATTGAAAGGAAACAGATAGATTAACAGACACTTATGACACGCTTCATGCCCCTCCCCATAAACAAACACCCAAAAGGGGACCACAGGCAGGGCTGCCATGTTCAGGGACGGATGTCTGGCGAGGAAACTTGAGTGGGTGGGGAGGAAGTGCTTCCCTGGGAGTGAGCAGCGCTGCTCTTGGGCTGGTGGGAGCTGGCCCCGGGTGGGTGCCCGGTGTGGTGACAGCAAGGAGCATGCCACCGGCCTTCACCGGGGTCACTGTGGGGGCCTCCTCACATGATCCCTTGCTTCCAGCTTCGCCCTGCTGCTGGAAATCCTGTCAAAGCCCAGACTCATTGGCGCTTCTGCTCAGCACTCTCCATTAGCTTCTCATCTCAGGAAAAGCCAAAGCCTTTCCGAGACGTGCCCTCTCTGACCTCATCTTCCGCTTTATTCCTCCCTTCCTCCCTCATTCCTACCATTCTCGCTGCCCTGGCCTGCCCGCTGCGGGCCTGTGCACCTGCTCGGGCGTGTGCACCTGCTCGGGCCTGTGCACCCGCTGCGGGCCTGTGCACCTGCTCGTCTGTGCACCTGCTCGTCTGCCTGCCGGGGTAGCGTCGCTCCTGCCATGCGCTTCACCCAAGTCACCTTCTCAGTGAGGCCTTCCCTTTGTGTTCTATGTCACTCCCACCTTCCTGACTCCTGGACATCTTGTGTCCTTCCTTCCTGCTTTATTTTTGCCCTAGTGCGTATCTCCAACTCATGTACTGGTCGTTCTGATTTCAAAAACCCCTCTCACTGCCTGCCTCTTCACGTGAATGTAAGCTCTGAGATAGGGGTTTGTCCCGTGGCTGATGGTAGTCACTTGCATATTTGTGCAGGTGATAGAGTGGCCAAGTTGCATCAGGGTCCTAGGGAAACTCCTAGGACACGTAGCAGGTTAGAAGTAGCCTCAGAGCCTCAGAAACCCTCTGAGAAAGGCATTGGAAAGGTCTACGTGCAAGAAGTATTCAAATGAACACCGAGGTGATACATGAAAGACTAGATTGCCAGCCAATACAGACCGTTAGGAAATCCAGAGAGAAAGTTGTAAGCCAGACCAGGAAAAGGCCATCTGTGATTTTTTTCCCGTCGGAGGAGAGGGGAGTGTCTCTGCACTCTTCCCCTCGAGGCGGCGTGCTGTCTGGCCGGAGTGGCAGGTGGCAGGTGCACGCTTGCAAATTCTAACAGCTGGGGCGTCCTTGTCAGGGTCACGCTCAGCACCGCACACGTCAGGTTGAACCCACCAACTGCCACCAAAGGGGTGCTTGCCCCAGCTGGTCTGGACCCCCATGGGCCCACGAGGGTCACAAACTACAGAAGGTGTGGAAGAGTCTTATGATAGAATGGACATTATGTTACATTTCAGAATTTACCAGGTCGAAACTGAGCAGGATTACACATCTGGTCACTGCAGAGCAGATGAGGTGTTTCGGGGTCGGCCTTAGGTAGTTGTTCACTGTCCAGGGAACTACCAGTGCCGTCTTCTCCCAGCCTCATGGGTTCACAGTAAACATTTAGTTCACGGTAAACAACTCACAAGAAACATTAATGACATATTGCCTCATTAATTGTATGCATTTAGTAAACAGGATCTCACATTTTAACCTAGAGTACTTTAATGCAGTCTAGTAATTTCTAAGTTTACCATGCTTCAACACACACACACACACACACACACACACACACACACACACGTAAATACATACAGCAGGTTGGCTGCTTCCTAACAGCGAAAGGAGACATGGACTGGGATTGTTTTAATAGCCAATTAATCTTTTCCTTGATTCTTTTTGAAGCTTAGAAATAGCCTTTCCCTGTGTTTGGTGTCTTGTCATCTTCATAATCATTTGCTCCTAGATTTTTCTTTTGTGGATTCCATTTTACCTTCAGGTCTGTTGCCTTGAGGATCGTGGCCTAATGGACAAAGTGTAGCGGTAGACACCTGTGTGGGGTGGGCCAGCGCCGCCTGCAGAATTCAGAAGCTCCAGTGTAGTGTCACCGGGGGACTCTGCACTTTACAGGCACAACTTAGCAAATGGGTGTGGTAGAGAGACGACTCCAGAGTTCGCTTTTACTAATAGGCGATGCAGAAGTTGCTGCCGGTCATTTTCTGGTCTTTTATAGCCATCCCTGAAGGGCACGATCTGGATTTCGGGTGGACTATTGGAGACACTCCCCCTGCAGTTTAACTTGACCTCCCCCCCCACACCTATTAGTTGTATTGATGTGCACATGACTCTCTCTCTGTCCCACATTCTAGGTGCTCATGTGACTATCACGGATCGAAAAGTAGCATTAGAATTTCTTAAATCAAATGTTCAAGCCAACTTACCCCCCCATATCCAGCCTAAAGCTGTTGTTAAGGAGCTGACTTGGGGACAAAATTTGGGGAGTTATTCACCTGGAGAATTTGACCTGATACTTGGAGCTGATATCATATATTTAGAAGAAACATTCACAGATCTTCTTCAGACTTTGGAACATCTCTGTAGCAACCGCTCCGTGATTCTTTTAGCTTGCCGAATTCGCTATGAACGGGATAACAACTTCTTAGCGATGCTGGAGAGGCAGTTTAATGTGAGTAAGGTTCACTATGATCCTGCCAAAGACGTGCATATTTACAAAGCGCAGAAGAGACACCAGAGGGAGGACCTGTAGTTGGCTGTGATGTAGAAGAATGTTATTATTGGGTGTGTCAGTAAAGGTCTGGGCCTGGGAATCAAACCACACTGGATGAAATGGCTCCTGAACAAAAAGTCTAACCAAAGCACATGTGCCGTTTGAAAACAGAGCACCACTTTGTCCCACTGCTGTGACTTTGCCGTCCTAGTTTACTCTGAAAACTGCTACTAGCATGCTAAAGGAATGTATGAGGTGTTCTGTGACCCATACTTCTGCCTCTTGATAAACAATTTTCACTGGTGAGATAATGAAGGGCTGATAGAAAGCAGTCTTCAAAGCAGTGAGCTTGTTTTGGTGAGACTGACCCGTGCACATTGTTTTAAATACATTCTGAGACACACGGTGAGCCCAGCTTTCTAATTTTCTGAATATAAAACAAGAGGCTTCAGGTATATTCCCTGAGCTGTGATGCTCTTGAAATCTTTTGTCTGCCCCATTTAGGTTTTAAATACTTCTGATTACTTGAGATTGGGATGGGAGTTCTCAGAGGTCTCATTTCATGCCTTTTGGCTTAATTTCCGATTTAGGTCTGTAAACGAAGTAAAAATAAAAGTTTAGTTACTTTTTGAACACACCGTGTGCTGTGCATGGGCCGCCTTCTTCAAAAGCTGTAGTTTTCCCTTGGCACTCCCCTTTCTCAGATGTTCCTGTATTTCTTTCCTAGGATTTCTCCTCCTTCGTATAATGCATAAGGTGACAATGTGTTAGCTCCCCAAGGAGTTCCTTCCACATTGTGCTTGTAATTGCTTATTCCAAGTCTGGATTCCCTGGAAGACTGGGAGCTTCTGGAGGCCAGGCCCACTGGTGCCACCTCCAGGACTGCCTCCCAGCCAAATACTCCGTGTGTGAAAAACATGCATTCCATTTAGAGTGTACTGGTCTTTGGGTTAAATGATTGCTCATTGTTTTATGATTATCTTTGACAGACTATGAATGAAGTCTCTCTCTCTCTCTCTCTCTTATTTTTTTTAAACAATGTAAAAATTTAACAGTGTAAGCAAATTCAGATGACAAGAATTATAATCTCAGTATGATAGTTGGTACTGGAGATCTGCTTTGTAAAACATTGGAAACAAGACATCCTTCCTCTTCACCTTTTAATGACTATCTTGGATGTGACAGCACCCAATACCTTATTTTCTACATATATTTTAGAGGTTTTATTTTTAAATAAAGATGAATTATGAATTAAAAGTTCTGAGCATTCTGTGATGTATCGGTTCAACACAATTTGGTAAATGCACATGAAATAGAAATATCCACAGCTTAGCAAATCTGTAAAATGCCAGTACTGTGCTATGAACGTGGAAGGTTTTTTAAAACCCGAGAAACACAAGCCCTGCAGCAGCATCAACACTAATGAAAGGCCCGTCCCATTCAGGTATGTTATTCAAAATGAGTATTTTAGTTGGGGTTCAGCTCCTTTCATATCCCTGACTTTGGAGAAAAGATATTAAAGTGGTTTTGGATGTGGACAGAGGACTAGGTGGGGTGGGGCGGGGCGGGGACCAGGTGGGGTAGAGGTGAGGATGGACAGCTTCAACATGTCTGGATGCCCTACCAAGTGAAGTAAGCATTAATTGGTGGTTTTACATGTTGTTCATAAAACATTAAGGATCAGAAAAGGTTGAAGGTAATTCTTTTTTCTTAATAGATGAAAATAAAAGGCAAGGAAAATTCAACAGGAATAGTTTGGTGTTGCAGTGAAAAATCAAGTGGTTTGGGGCTTTTTGTTTTGTTTTGCTTTTTGTTCTTGGCTTTGGGTTTAAAATGTCTCAGGCCAAGTTCCCTGGGGAAATACCCTAGGAGATAGACATTAGGGTGTAGAAAGTTTAAATGGGAAGGCTTTCAAGATCACATCTCTGAGGTAGTAAAAGTAGCAGGACTGGGAAAGAGGGAGAGATTGGGCTGGGATGCAATCCTCAGAAATGAGAGCGAGGATGGCCCTACAGTTGGGTCATATTAAGGCAAGAGGGAGGGATTTTATATCCCTGCATAGATTAGTCATGTGATCCAAGGGGCGTAACCTTAGAACGAATACCTAGAAAGGAACTCAGCTGAGGGCTATCAGCCAACCTTCCCAGAAGCTGGGGAGGTGAGTACTTCATGGGTATTTTGGGGGTGAGTGATGGGGGAGAGACGTTGTATCTGGGTAATATGCCACAGCGCCCACTATAAATGTCAGGAAAGGGGTGATGGTTTTCTTATCTTAAAGGATTGATCCCACAGATGTGCATTCTGTGCTTGTTTTATCCTCAAGAAAAGAAACCTAAACCAACTGTACACTAAACATTGATCTTCACACTACTCAGTTTCTTAGTTCTCCGGTGACTTTTCCCACCATTAAGATCAAATACTGGTGCCAGGTTGCCAAGTTAAAATCTATATAGGACGTCAGGTTCTTAGAACTACTGCTATAAAGTATGCTGTCATTCTCTGTGCAGATTACTTATTTTTTTAAAATGTTTATTTTTGAGAGGCAGAGATAGAATGTGAGCAGGGGAGCGGCAGAGAAGGGGAGACATGGAATCCTAAGCAGGCTCCAGGCTCCGAGCTGTAAGCACAGAGCCTGACGCGGGCTCAAACCCACTAGCCCATGAGATCATGACCTGAGCTGAAGTCTGACACTCAGCTGATGATCCTAGGGTTGTGGGATTGAGCCCTGCCTTGGGCTCCACTCTGAGTATGGAGCTTGAGATCCTCTCTCTAAAAATAATAAAAATTTTAAAGTAATTTTAAAAATCACTTTTTAATGTACTAGCCTGGGGCCTGACATCATAGTTGGTGAAAGCCGTGCAATTTATTTTGTGTCAGAGACGTGGTCGTAATCGTACTGCTACCCCAGAACCTCTACCTAGACATAAGTAGCATTTTCCTTTTTTTTTTTTTAATTTAAAATCTTAATATTTATTTCTGAGACAGAGCGAATGAGAAAGCAGAGCAGGAGCAGCAGAGAATCTGAATTCAGCTCACACTGACAGCAGCAAGCCTGATGCTGGGGTTGAACTCATGAACCATGAGATCATGGCTGGAGCTAAAGTCGGATGCTTAACCGACTTAGCCACTCAGGCACCCCAGCAAGAAGTAGCATTTTCAAGATCTTTAACAAGAATGAAGCATGATGTTGCAGTGAGTACAGAGAGCCTTGTTCTGGGCAAAGAGAAACATGGGTTTCTCTGAACACTGACAGGAATTGCATGAAATCAGGGCTGAACTCAGTTGTTTTTTTACTTTAAAAATTGAGAATTTGTTAGCTCTGAAGTTTCTTTCCAATTTTCAGTCATATTATGCTTTTCTTTCTATAGCCAAAGAAGTGCCAAATTTTAACACGAGAAGACATGGTATGCTGAAAAATTAAGTTTCCTAGCTGAGAACTGTTTCTGAGGAAGATTCGAAGGGAAAGCCCTATAACAGAGGTGCGAAAAGGGAGGCCATCTACTACAAAACCTTGTGTTAAAAGGCTGGTTCTGCTACTTATTTTTAAAAAAATTTTTTTTAATGTTTTATTTATTTCTGAGAGAGAGACAGCATGAGTAGGGGAGGGTCAGAGAGAGAGGGAGATACAGAATCTGAAACAGGCTACAGGTTCTGATCTAGCTGTCAGCACAGAGCCCAATGCAGGGCTTGAACCCACGAACCATGAGATCATGACCTGGGCCGAAGTCGGACGCTTAACCGACTGAGCCACCCAGGCGCCCCCTGCTACTTCTATTTTTAACTCCTAAAAAAAATTATGTAAAGTTTGACATAAAAAATACTAACCAACATATTTTTGTTAATTTAGCAAAAGATTAATGCTTAGGAAGCAACCTCCAAATCTAAAAATCATACTTAATAAACATTCCCACTTCCCAGAATCTACCCTAAAGATAAACTAGGTTGTATTTACACTGACTTGTGTGTATCTGTAAGAGTCAAAAGTAATAACCTAAATGTCCACAAAAGAGGATGCTTATCCACCCAATGGGATACAACACACCAGTTAGAAAGACTGAGGCAGATGTACATAAACTGAAATAGAACCGTCAAGACACATTCAGCGACAAAGTACCATTTATGTAAAAAAGGGGAGAGGAGAGAAAAGACATTACATTTCCATGTCTATGCACAGACTGTCTCTAAAGGGATACACAAGAATCTTTTTACTGCTTCCCTATTTGTCATATTTTCCAAACATAGGTAATACTTAAGGAAACTAAGTTAAAAAATAACGACATTATCAAGAAAGTGAAAAGAAAGATTAAGAGAATGGGAGAAAATAATTGCAAATCATACTACCTGGTAAGGCTCTGGTATCCAGAATATATAAGGAACTCCTAAAACTCAACAACAATGAAAACAAAAAACATTTTAAAAATGAGCAAAGGACTTGAACAGACATTTCTCCAAATAAGATCTACAAATAACTCCAGACACATGATTAAAGAGTCACAAATCCAATTGACAAGCTACCTCTTCATACCTGTAAGGATGAGCATAATTAAAACAAATGTTGGCCAGCACACAGAGAAACTGGAACGTTCACACATCAATCATTGGTAGGAATGTAAAGTGCGACAGCTCAGGAAAAATTTGGCAGGTCCTCAGAAAGTAAACATAGAACTACCATATGGCCCAGCAATTCCAGTCCTGGGTATGTAACCAGAAGAACTGAAAGCAGGGACTCCAATAATTGCACATGAATGTTCATAGAGGCATTATTCACAAAAGCCAAATAATGGAAATACCCAAGTGTCCATCAACGGATAAATGGGCAAACTGTGGCTATATAATAGATTATTCAGCCACATGGAGTGAAGTACTGGTAAATGTTTTTGAGGAACTTCAAAAACATGCTAAGTGAAAGAAGCCAGACACAAAAGGTCACATAGGATCCTATTTATAAGAAATATTCAGAATAGATAACTATAGAAATGGAAAGCAGGATTCATGGCTGCCTGGGGCTGGAGGGAGGGTAAAATGGAGAGTAACTTTTTAATAGAAGGTTTTATTTTGGAGTGATGATATTTTGGACCTAGATATGCAGTTGGTGGTAGCTAGCACAACATTGAGAAGGTACTAAATGCTACGGATTTGTTCATTTAAAAATGGTCAATTTTGTTATGTGAACTGCACCTTAATTAAAAAAAAAAAAAAAGCAAAAATAGCATTGAAGTGCCTGGAAATACCTTTTCTCTTCACGTGTTAGGGCCTCACCAGAATTCTAAGCCCCAGTTTGGTCAATGTGCAAAAGAAAGACGTGGAGAAACTGAAAATGTACAATGGAAGGATAACACTGATTAAGGGATTGATTTTATGGGTTTTGGCCTTAAGCAGTTTAGTTTAGTGGAATAGTGGCATCATTTAGAAGATGGAAAAAACCAGCTGAAAGATGAACAGATTCAGAGGAGAAATCAGAAGTTCTGTTTTGGACCTCTGTTGTGCAATCTGAGTGGAGATAACAAATGGGAGAGTCTAGCACAGAGCTAAAATCATATGAACGTTACAGAATGGTTTCTTTTGCGGTGTCTTAGAGCTTCTTGAGGACAGGGACTTAGTGCTCACAAGTGTGTCTTCAAGTATTTGTGAAATAAGCAAGTGACCACAAAGGTATGGATAAAGAGAAGATAGGCACTTGATCCCCTTATTGGAGACTCAAGCACTTGGACACGGGTTACAAGGACGGTGACTGAAGGTCCCGATTTGCTCAGCACAATCCTGCTTTACACCTGTTGCCCTATTAACATCACCCTTTCACTCTCAAGTGTCCGTACAGTAACGTTAAGTGATCACACTGTAGAAGAGAAAGAATAAAATGTATGCAATTCCTTCAGTACAACAGGCTTAACAAGCTTAATAAATACATCATGGCAATTAAAACAAATCTTAGAATAAATGCAACTGCTTATTTTCAGAAATTGAATCAATAGGAGAGAATCTTTTATTATCCTTTTAGCAAAGAGCAGATTAACCACACCTCCTCCCATCTCCTGTTTTATATGATCACAGACCTTTAGAATGACAAGGGGGCCTGCGAAGTTAGCTATTCTTACTGTTCTTCCAATGCAAACATGCATTTCATGACACTGGAGACAGCTCGTCCTGTGTCTCCATCGGTTTCCTCAATAGGGCGGTAACATCTCCACATCTTCAAATAGGCACTGTTCAGACTTACTGAACAAAGAAATCTT